AATCTAAGTAATGCAAAACAAACGACATACAATCCATGACAGTAATGCATCACAAACGACATACAATCCATGACAGTAATGGAACACAAACGACATACAATCCATTATTGTAATGCAACAAAAACGATATACAATCTAAGTAATGCAAAACAAATGACACACAATCCATGACAGTAATGCAACACAAACGACACACAATCTAAGTATTGCAACAGAAACGACATACAATCCATTATTGAAATGCAACAAAAACGACATACAATCTAAGTAATGCAAAACAAACGACATACAATCCATGACAGTAATGTAAAACAAACGACATACAATCCATGACAGTAATGGAACACAAACCACATACAATCCATGACAGTATTGCAAAACAAACGACACACAATCTAGGTAATGGAACACAAAGGACACACAATCCATAACAGTAATGCAACACAAACGACATACAATCCATGACAGTAATGCAACACAAACGACATACAATCCATGAAAGTTATGCAAAACAAACGACACACAATCTAGGTAATGGAACACAAACGACATACAGTCCATGACAGTATTGCAACACAAACGACATACAATCCATTATTGTAATGCATCAAAAAAACGACATACAATCTAAGTAATGCAAAACAAACGACATACAATCCATGACAGTAATGCAAAACAAACGACATACAATCCATGACAGTAATGCAACAGAAACGACATTCAATCAATGAAAGTTTTGCAACACAAACGACAAACAATCTAAGTGCTGCAACACAAACGACATACAATCCATTATTATTGTAATGCAACAAAAACGATATACAATCTAAGAAATGCAAAAGTAACGACGTACAATCCATGAAAGTAATGCAAAACAAACGACACACAATCTAGGTAATGGAACACAAACGACATCTAATCCATGACAGTAATGCAACACAAACGACATACAATCCATTATTGTAATGCAACACAAACGACATACAATCAATGACAGCAATGCAACACAAACGACATACAATCCATTATTGTAATGCAACAAAAACGATATACAATCTAAGTAATGCAAAACAAACGACATACAATCCATGACAGTAATGCCACACAAACGACATACAATCCATGACAGTAATGCAACACAAACGACACACAATCTAAGTATTGCAACACAAACGACATACAATCCATTATTGTAATGCAACAAAAACGACATACAATCTAAGCAATGCAAAACAAACGACATACGATCCATGACATTAATGCAGAATAAGCGACATACAATCCATCACAGTAATGCAACACAAACGACATACAATCCATGACAGTAATGCAACACGAACGACATACAATCTAAGTAATGAAACACAAACGGCATACAATCCGTGCCAGTAATGAAACACAAACGACATACAATTCATGACAGGAATGCAACAGAAACGACATACAATGCGTGACAGTAATGCAAAACAAACGACACACAATCTAGGTAATGCAACACAAACGACATACAATCCATGACAGTAATGCAACACAAACGACATACAATCTAAGTAATGGAAAAGAAACGACATACAATCCATGACAGTAATGCAACACAAACGACATACAATCCATGACAGTAATGCAACACAAAAGACATACAATCCATGACAGTAATGCAACACAAACGACATACAATCCATGACAGTAATGCAACACAAACGACATACAATCTAAGTAATGCAACACAAATGACATACAATTCATGATAGTAATGCAACAGAAACGACATACAATCCATGACAGTAATGTAAAACAAATGACATACAATCCTTGACAGAAATGCAACACAAACGACACACAATCTAAGTATTGAAACACAAACGACATACAATCCATTATTGCAATGCAATAAAAACGACATACAATCTAAGTAATGCAAAACAAACGACATACAATCCATGACAGTAATGCAAAACAAACGACATACAATCCATGACAGTAATGCAAAACAAACGACACACAATCTAGGTAATGGAACACAAAGGACACACAATCCATAACAGTAATGCAACACAAACGACATACAATCCATGACAGTAATGCAACAAAAACGACATACAATCTAAGTAATGCAAAACAAACGACATACAATCCATGACAGTAATGCAACACAAACGACATACAATCCATGACATTAATGCAACACAAACGACATACAATCCATGACACTAATGCAACACAAACGACATTCAATCCATGACAGTTATGCAACACAAACGACAAACAATCTAAGTATTGCAACACAAACGACATACAATCCATTATTATTGTAATGCAACAAAAACGATATACAATCTAAGAAATGGAAAAGTAACGACGTACAATCCATGAGAGTAATGCAAAACAAACGACACACAATCTAGGTAATGGAACACAAACGACATATAATCCATGACAGTAATGGAACACAAACGACATACAATCCATGACAGTAATGCAACACAAACGACACACAATCTAAGTAATGCAAAACAAACGACATACAATCCATGACAGTAATGCAACGGAAACGACATACAATCTATGACAGCAATGCAACACAAACGACACACAATCCATTATTGTAATGCAACAAAAACGATATACAATCTAAGTACTGCAAAACAAATGACACACAATCCATGACAGTAATGCAACACAAACGACACACAATCTAAGTATTGCAACAGAAACGACATAAAATCCATTATTGAAATGCAACAAAAACGACATACAATCTAAGTTATGCAAAACAAACGACATACAATCCATGACAGTAATGCAACACAAACGACATACAGTCCATGACAGTAATGCAACACAAACCACATACAATCCATGACAGTAATGCAACACAAACGACATACAATCCATGACAGTAATGCAACACAAACGACATACAATCCATGACAGTAATGCAACACAAACGACACACAATCTAGGTAATGGAACACAAACGACATACAGTCCATGACAGTATTGCAACACAAACGATATACAATCCATTATTGTAATGCATCAAAAACGACATACAATTTTTAGTAATGCAAAACAAACGACATACAATCCATGACAGTAATGCAACAGAAACGACATTCAATCCATGACAGTTTTGCAAAACAAACGACACACAATCTAGGTAATGGAACACAAAGGACACACAATCCATAACAGTAATGCAACACAAACCCCATAGAATCCATGACAGTAATGCAACACAAACGACATACAATCCATGAAAGTTATGCAAAACAAACGACACACAATCTAGGTAATGGAACACAAACGACATACAGTCCATGACAGTATTGCAACACAAACGACATACAATCCATTATTGTAATGCATCAAAAACGACATACAATCTAAGTAATGCAAAACAAACGACATACAATCCATGACAGTAATGCAACAGAAACGACACTCAATCCATGACAGTTTTGCAACACAAACGACAAACAATCTAAGTATTGCAACACAAACGACATACAATCCATTATTATTGTAATGGAACAAAAACGATATACAATCTAAGAAATGCAAAAGTAACGACGTACAATCCATGAAAGTAATGCAAAACAAACGACACACAATCTAGGTAATGGAACACAAACGACATATAATCCATGACAGTAATGCAACACAAACGACATACAATCCATTATTGTAATGCAACACAAACGACATACAATCAATGACAGCAATGCAACACAAACGACATACAATCCATTATTGTAATGCAACAAAAACGATATACAATCTAAGTAATGTAAAACAAACGACATACAATCCATGACAGTAATGCAACACAAACGACACACAATCTAAGTATTGCAACACAAACGACATACAATCCATTATTGTAATGCAACAAAAACGACATACAATCTAAGTAATGCAAAACAAACGACATACAATCCATGACATTAATGCAGAATAAGCGACATACAATCCATCACAGTAATGCAACACAAACGACATACAATCCATGACAGTAATGCAACACGAACGACATACAATCTAAGTAATGCAACACAAACGGCATACAATCCATGCCAGTTATGCATCACAAACGACATACAATCCATGTATGTCGTTTGTGTTGCATTACTTAGATTGTGTGTCGTTTGTGTTGCATTACTGTCATGGATTGTATGTCGTTTCTGTTGCATTACTGTCATGGATTGTATGTCGTTTGTGTTCCATTACCTAGATTGTGTGTCGTTTGTTTTGCATTACTTAGATTGTATGTCGTTTTTGTTGCATTACAAAAATGGATTGTGTGTGGTTTTTGTTGCATTACAATAATGGATTGTATGTCATTTGTGTTGCATTACTGTCATGGATTGTGTGTCGTTTGTGTTGCATTACTGCCATGGATTGTATGTCGTTGTGTTGCATTACTGTAATGGAATGTGTGTCGTTTGTGTTGCATTACTGTCATGGATTGTATGTCGTTTGTGTTGCATTACTGTCATGGATTGTATGTCGTTTGTGTTGCATTACTTAGATTGTATGTCGTTTGTGTTCCATTACTGTCATGGATTGTATGTCGTTTGTGTTGCATTACTGTCATGGGTTGTATGTCGTTTGTGTTGCATTACTGTCATGGATCGTATGTCGTTTGTGTTGCATTTACTAGATTGTGTGTCGTTTGTGTTGCATTACAATAATGGATTGTATGTCGTTAGTTTTGCATTACTGTCATGGATCGTATGTCGTTTGTGTTGCATTACCTATATTGTGTGTCGTTTGTGTTGCATAACTGTCATGGATTGTATGTCGTTTTCGATTGTTAATGATACTCCTCGAATCATACAATAGTCAAAGAGACAAACGTACAAATTTCATTGACACACTGAATATAACCAGGACAGAGTTCTGTGATAAAGATACAGCTGGCGAACTGTAATTTTAACAAATTTCTCTAAATATTAAATGGTCGCCCTGTGATCTAGTTTATAAATATCACATTCCAGCATCAAAGATGTTGCAGCCGCTTTCGGGGGATGAACTGTCCCAGGATTCCGAAACAGAATCCGTTTCAACGCCCATAAGAGCCGTGCACGGGGATCCTGGGCCAGTTTCAAGCAATGAAGCATCGGGCGATTCAGGCGCATCGATACACTCTGCTGCGATGAAGGTAGAACCTCTTCCACTACAATGCAAGAGCCGTATGGGTGTCGCTCCTCCCCTCCCAGAAGGAAAGAAATACCACGCCTTCTTTTCTTATGAGTCTACTGATCGACAATGGGTGGAACAGATTACCCGCAAACTGGAGTCTCCAAATCTTGGCTTCAAATGCAGCGTCCACGAGAGAGACTTTCATGGAGGCAAGCGTATCATTGAAAATATCACTGAGCACATCCAGCTGTCGGAGAAGACGGTGTTAGTGCTGTCTCCAGACTTCATCCAGAGCCACTGGTGCATGTTTGAGACACAGATGGGGATGATCCTGAGCATGGAGGAGAGCCAGCTGCTAGTGGTGCCAGTTATGGTGAAGCAGTGCCGTGTTCCTGACACCATCAAGACCCTCACCTACATCGACGCAACTTCCGGCGATGACTGGTGGCCGCGGTTCATTGATGCCATAGTTTCTAGAGGTATTCTAAATCCATGGCGACTTGTGTGTGGCTGCTTGTGCTAGCCCGGACTAATGCCGATTTTATAGTGCTAGCCACCTGAGATACCATGCAGCAGTTTAAGATGAATATGCCAGATAGACACAGTATACTGACTCCTAGCCGACAAGTCCTTGTTTTAGCCCCAACACGAGGCAGGGTAACAACAAGTACCATTTTAACGCGGCCGGGTATCGAACCCGGGCCATCCGCTCTTCGGGCGGACGCTCTTCCACTAGGCCATCGACCCGGTTGGCATAATGTTTAGAATAGGTACTAACACCTTTTTTTGAGTTGGCTTACAGATTGATTTCCTATAAAATCTTTAGTCGGTCGAAAACAAAATCAAAATCAAAGTAAACCCTTTTAATTTTTGTCATTATTTGGCTAAACCATAGGGTCTGTGCGATGAGATTTTCAGTTCGCATGTTAATGATTTCGTAGGACTGCCTCCATGGTCTAGTGGTTCGATCCCCGACCGCGTCATACCAAAAGACTTAAAAAGATGGTACTTGTTGTTACCCTGTCTGGCGCTCGGCATTAAGGGGCTAAAACAAGAACTGGTCTGCTCGGAGTCAGTATACTGTGTCTGAGTGGGGTATTCATGTTAAACTGCGGCATGGTATCTCAGTGAGCTAGCACTATAAATCGGCATCAGTCCGGACTAGTACAAGCAGCCACACAAACACACACGTACATGCACGTCGCTATATAAGTGCAATAATCTTGGACGCGACGTTAAACCCCATTTCACCTCACCTAATGATTTCGTGAGCTTGTACCTGTGATGCTGTGAGCAGTACTCGTCGTGGCTTCATCTTTTGCTTTGAGCCTACAGTTCGGGTCATTTACCGTGTACCACAATGAGCGTGTAGGTTGGGTAAACATTTAGAATTCGTGTTTGGAAGTAAGCCCAGTGGGCTTGGTGATAATAAGAGAGCTGGAGCTTTAAACTGAAATTATATTTTTTCTCATTCTTGAATTGTGGCTGGATCCGTAAACCAATTTCTAAAATATAATAAAACGCCTGGATTCCTATAATAGCATTATGTTTTACTGGAACTAGAGGAACAATTGCTATACATATGTTAAACCTATTTAGGCATGTAGGTATTAACCTAGTGCTGGCTTGTCACAGACATTGTGAGCGTGAATTGCCCAATAAGTCATGTGCATATGGTTTGTACTTCTGTGTACATCTATATAATGAAACAGGCCAAAGTGTAATAGAAACACATATAATATAACTTAGGAAAAACATTCCGTTTTGATAGAAATACACCGTTATGAAAAAGGTATTATTGATCATGAGATATTGTAATTTATTATTTTTCTAGACGACCTCCTCAGCAACTACAGTGGCACAAGAGACGTGACAGTCCGGCCTCGATTTGGTGAGACGACATCCGTTGTGTCGCTGCTATGATATCACTCATCACCAGTCATTAGGAAATCATATACAGTAAACTGCGGTTATAACGAACACGCTTATAACGAACTGACGGATATAACGAACTCCTTTTTTGGTCCCGATAATTAGCTGTATTATGTTGTATATATGCTTATAACGAACTACGGTTATAACGAACTAAAATTAGTAGTCCCTTTGAGTTCGTTATAACCGTACTTTACTGTACAGTCAATAGGGACCGAAACCAATTTTATGAAATATATTTGCTCTTGGTTTTACAAAAGGAACCAAGAGGTGTTCATCTCACATAACGATGTCTTGAAATAATGGGTTGCAATCTAATTAGAAGACCCCAACCTGTCAACAAAGGGCGCTGGCGCAAATAGCTAAACGTGAGACCGGATACACCCTAGCTCACGAAAACCCATTTACATTATGTCCCTTTTCAGGTAATATGGAAAAACTGACTGAAATACAGTCCAACTATAAGTGTCCATCGGGAGAAGCTATAAGAATACCTTATGTTCCCGAGGTGTTGCTCAGACCAGGCATACAGGTATTTATATATAAGGAAGAAGAGTGTATATATCACTTGACCCTAAAAATGAAATGGGGTGCACGACAACCCATATGATTTTAAGTCTAATTCTTAAACATCTCCAGGAACCCGTGGCATATCCGAGTTGTAATTGGTCCCCTGCAACCTATGCTGGTCCTAAAAGGCGACAAAATGGCTCGGGCAGTTAGGCTGGTTGACTTGTGTGTCATCGTACCCCGACGGCGTCAATCGTTTCTTATAATATCAATTATGTCTGCGGCGTTTAGGATCACCGCCACCAACAACTTTCTCTAGACGTAACCTCATTTTTATGTCTTCAATGTGTTTCCATCTATGGACATATGTATCTGTCAAATTGTCAAACTTTCTATCAGATACCCCCGGAAGAGTTTGACAAGTCAGTGGACATCATCCGCTCTGCAACCTGCTTCTGCAAACATCTCTATGACTACGGACCTTGTTGTGTACCAATTCTTGTAGTGCTGCTCTGTGTAGGCTTCGTTGGCATGCCAACTCTTACAGCCATAATTGCAACTGCACGTTATTCTGATTTTAATAATCATCTACGTGTTATCTTTATTATCACTATGACGCTTCCCTGGTTGGTGTTTGTTTTGGTCTTTTTCCTTCAGCGATCGATGGTGAGTAGAATTTACGTTTAATACATTCTATTGCGTAAAAACAAATGAATTTGGCACAAATGACACATTTACACTTTCACGTGAATATGTGTGGAGATGGTCATGAATATGCATGAGGGTGTCTATTTTTAGATACGGACTCCTGTGCTTGATCCCATTGGTGTAGAAGGCGTCCTCCTGATGGCGTCTCCACAGCAGAAATGACGTCACCATAATTTGCTTAATGCTTGCCAGAGTAGTTTGTATTAAGTTTGGGAAGAGGTGAAAATCTGACACTGCCAAATCTGGTAGACGTGTAACAGCTAAAACCCGCCAGGAAAACATGACTCGCTGTTAGGTGTGAGCCGTTTATTCGGACTGTTTCGCATACGCCGTACGGCCCCTAATCACATTTTTTGGCCTTGTTATGGTCCTTGCTCAATACTATAAATCAAATACAATACAAGACAATACAATGCAATGCATTACAATGCAATGGAATGGAATAGAATACAATGCAATAAAATAAATTATAATGCTATAGATTACGATACAAAAAATACCATGCAATGAAATAATTCATGCAATAAATATCATACAATGCATTAAATTACAATATAATGCAAGGCAAAATAATTCAATACAATCCAATGCAATAAATTGGAATATAATGCAATTTAATGCAATAAGTTACAATACAATAAATACCTTGAAAAAACATATAATACAATATCAAACAATAATTACAATATAATATATTGTAATATAATACAATAAATACAACACAACATTTGATGCAATAAATTCAAATACAAAACAATACAATGTAATACAATGCAATACATGTATCTTGGGGATTTCTGGAAATTTCACTATGACATATTTGCTGTCGTTAGATGGTTCCCTTGAAGATACGTTTGTGGACATGCTTATAACGACATAGATATAAAGATGTTCGTTTGTTTGTTTTAAACTGACCACAGAGGAAAAGAAGACTTCGAAAAGCTGTCACTGAAGCTAACAAAATATTTCTGAAATACAACCTCATCGTGGGATGCAGTATGACGATGTCTGGATGTGTGACATCAAGGACGTTTGTGAGTAAACCATGCATGTCAAAGAGAGAGAGAGAGAGAGAGAAAGAGAGAGAGAGAAACAGAGAGAGAGAGAGAGCGAAAGCGAAAGAGAGAGAGAGACGAGAGAGAGAGAGAGAGAGTGTGAGAGAGATTGAGAGAGAGCGAAAGCGAGAGAGAGAGCAAAAGAGAGAGAGAGATGGAGAGAGAGAAAGCGAAAGCGAGAGAGATAGAGAGACGAGAGATTGAGAGAGAGCGAAAGCGAAAGAGAGAGATAGAGACGAGAGAGAGAGTGAGAGATTGAGAGAGAGCGAAAGCGAGAGAGAGAGAGAGCAAGAGAGAGAGAGAGATGGAGAGAGAGCAAGCGAAAGCGAGAGAGATAGAGAGACGAGAGTGAGAGAGAGAGAGCGAGAGAGAGAGATTGAGAGAGAGCGAAAGCGAAAGAGAGAGATGGAGACGAGAGAGAGAGTGAGAGATTGAGAGAGAGAGCGAAAGCGAGAGAGAGAGCAAGAGAGAGAGAGAGAGAGAGAGAGAGAGAGAGAGAGAGAGAGAGAGAGAGAGAGAGAGGTGTAGTGTAGTGTACACAGATTTGGGTATTTCAGATTGCCTTTGAGAATTTTTCTACTGAACTACACTTAGCATCCATTGTGATTTATCCTTGTCTGATGATCAATGATGTGCTTTTACAGCTCGAGTTCTGGTTCTTCAACCCCACGGAATGCAAAGTAGGTACAAACCGCCGTTCACTTAAAGGAAGCCACCGAGCGATATTCAAAGGCTGGAGGACCCAAAATAACACGTAGTCTGACATGTAACAATGTAATTCCCTTTGTACACCAGAGAACAACGTCCACTCATGTGTGGAAAACACATGTGATGCAAAAATAGCACAACAAGGCCAGTCTTGTTTGGAAATAAGCAGCGCTTTGAATGTGCGCTCGATGACTACCTCTCTATGGTATTGCTTTAAGTCCTATTTTACAGTTGTAGCTTATCACGAGAGGAATATGGCTTGATGTACCCTCTGTGTGTCCGTGAACCCAGAGTCGACACGGCAACAGAGGTTACATCAAGCCTTCAATGTTATCTCACCGTCATGTTTATCATTGACCACATTTTAGAAACCCAGTGATGCGATGCGTTTGTTTATTGTCATATTGCCAAAGGAAACCCTGGAGGCAATTTGTCAATGTTAAGGCTCTGTGCATTACGTACATGTTAATATACATTACGCGAGGCTATTTCACTGTAAAGAGCTTGAATCCTCGAAGACGTGTTGACTCAGTTGATGATATGCAATCTCAGCTTGAAAACTATCTCATATACTCAAATATACCTTATTAAGTAAATTTTAACGTAGAGCGGGTGTGTTTTCAGAATTTCTTGGCAGAGTTTCTCCAAGGCAAACACGACGGAATTAATGCAGACGCCTCACAGGTCAGTTCTTCACCTGATATGCTTTCAGTGATCAAGGCCCTGTAATGATCACTGCTCCAATGTTTGCTTTGATTCGCGAGACGTCTCCTGATCAGGTGCTACTCGACCTGTTTGTTTGTTCTTTAAAGACACAATGTAAGTTAATTTATAACATGAAGCCGAGTATCATAGACTATAAGTCGAGTCGAGCAAAATAAAACAGAACTGAATGAGTTCACAATTTACGACTTGTCGCTTACGGAAAAGGAGACTGGGAGTAGTGCACTGTGTCATTGTTTCGTGACGTCAGTGCAATCACTGTATGAACTGATCAGTGGATTGTTGCACGAGCAAAAAAACGTAGATTGTCCTACATGCTTGTACATGCATGTACATAATTAAATGAAGGGTTTAGAAAAAAACATATCTTAGAAAACGTTCAATACTCTAAATACAGACCATAGGACATCCTGAGTGTGTCTCAAAAGTGAAGATTGAGAAACCATTTCGCCCACCAAGCATAACAACACACACAAATGGGCACACACTGAACTCTGTAATACAATGTCAGTTGTAATGCATGGAAAAACAGCGTCTGCTTCATTTGACGCGGGAAATTTGCAAAATGTTTTTGTTGTTGGCAACAATAATAAATGATGCTCTAGATTTAAACTGATACGAGAGTCCCCGAGGAACATTTTCTTTGTTCAACCTAATGAATTCCGTGTTTTCTGTACACAGGCGTATGCATCGCAGCTGATTCACCACCATAGCGTGGGCTACACCACCGCCTACCAGGAAGGCAAGTTGAAGGTGCATGGACCCAGACACGTTCGTAATGCTGCCTGTCTCTGCCAGTACATTGCGGAGAAGTACTCTGAGGGAGGGATACCCCCACTGGAGGTTGTTTGATTGTCTGTACATTGAGGAGAAGTACTCTGACGGTGGGATACACCTACTGGATGTTGTGTGATTGTCTTTACATTGAGGAGAAGTACTCTGAGGGTGAGATAGGGTGACAGAACTGTAGATAGTTGGCTTCAATGTGTTCCTTCAATCTTTAATGTTATTGTGTGCCATGACAGACCTCTAGATAGTTGGCTTCACTGCTTTCCTTCAATCTTTGACGTTTGTTTGTGCCGTGACAGAACTGTAGATAGTTGGCTTCAATGTGTTCCTTCAATCTTTTATGTTTGTATATGCCGTGACAGACCTGTAGATAGCTGGCTTCAATGTGTTTCTTCAATCTTTTATGTTTGTATATGCCATGACAGAAATGTAGATAGTTGGCTTCAATGCGTTCCTTCAATCTTTGATGTTTGTTTGTGCCGTGACAGAACTGTAGATAGTTGGCTTCAATGTGTTCCTATAATCTTAAATGTTATTGTGTGCCATGACAGAACTGTAGATAGTTGGCTTCAATGCTTTCCTTCAATCTTTAATGCTTGTTTGTGCCGTGACAGAACTGTAGATAGTTGGCTTCAATGTGTTCCTTCAATCTTTTATGTTTGTGTGTACCATGACAGAACTGTAGATAGTTGGCTTCACTGCTTTCCTTCAATCCTTGATGTTTGTGTGTACCATGACAGACCTGTAGATAGTTGGCTTCAGTGCGTTCCTTCAATCTTTGATGTTTGTTTGTGCCGTGACAGAACTGTAGACAGTTGCCTTCAATGTGTTCCTTCAATCTTTTATGTTTGTGTGTGCCATGACAGACCTGTAAATAGTTGGCTTCAATGTGTTCCTTCAATCTTTTATGTTTGTATATGCCATGACAGAACTGTAGATAGTTGGCTTCAGTGCGTTCCTTCAATCTTTGATGTTTGTTTGTGCCGTGACAGACCTGTAGATAGTTGGCTTCAGTGCGTTCCTTCAATCTTTGATGTTTGTTTGTGCCGTGACAGAACTGCAGATAGTTGGCTTCAATGTGTTCCTTCAATCTTTTATGTTTGTGTGTACCATGACAGACCTGTAGATAGTTGGCTTCAATGCGTTCCTTCAATCTTTAATGTTTGTTTGTGCCGTGACAGAACTGTAGATAGTTGGCTTCAATGTGTTCCTTCAATCTTTTATGTTTGTGTGTGCCATGACAGACCTGTAAATAGTTGGCTTCAATGTGTTCCTTCAATCTTTTATGTTTGAATATGCCATGACAGAACTGTAGATAGTTGGCTTCAGTGCGTTCCTTCAATCTTTGATGTTTGTTTGTGCCGTGACAGAACTGTAGATAGTTGGCTTCAGTGCGTTCCTTCAATCTTTGATGTTTGTTTGTGCCGTGACAGAACTGTAGATAGTTGGCTTCAATGCGTTCCTTCAATCTTTGATGTTTGTTTGTGCCGTGACAGAACTGCAGGTAGTTGGCTTCAATGTGTTCCTTCAATCTTTTATGTTTGTGTGTACCATGACAGAACTGTAGATAGTTGGCTTCACTGCTTTCCTTCAATCTTTTATGTTTGTGTGTACCATGACAGACCTGTAGATAGTTGGCTTCAATGTGTTCCTTCAATTTTTCATGTTTGTGTGTACCATGACAGAACTGTAGATAGTTGGCTTCACTGCTTTCCTTCAATCTTTTATGTTTGTGTGTACCATGACAGACCTGTAGATAGTCGGCTTCAATGTTTTCCTTCAATCTTTCATGTGTGTGTGTACCATGACAGACCTGTAGATAGTTGGCTTCACTGCTTTCTTTCAATCTTTGATGTTTGTGTGTACCATGACAGAACTGTTGATAGTTGGCTTCAGTGCGTTCCTTCAATCGTTTATGTTTGTTTGTGCCATGACAGAACTGTAGAAAGTTGGCTTCAATGCTTTCCTTCAATCTTTTATGTTTGTGTGTATCATGACAGACCTGTAGATAGTTGGCTTCAGTTCATTCCTTCAATCATTTATGTTTGTGTGTATCATGACGGACTTGTAGATAGTTGGCTTCAGTGCTTTCCTTCAATCTTTTATGTTTGTGTGTATCATGACAGACCTGTAGATAGTTGGCTTCAGTGCTTTCCTTCAATCTTTTATGTTTGTGTGTATCATGACAGACCTGTAGATAGTTGGCTTCAGTGCTTTCCTTCAATCTTTTATGTTTGTTTGTGCCATGACAGACCTGTAGATAGTTGGCTTCAGTGCTTTCCTTGAATCTTTTATGTTTGTGTGTATCATGACAGACCTGTAGATAGTTGGCTTCAGTGCTTTCCTTCAATCTTTTACGCTTGTGTGTGCTATGACAGACCTGCATTAGACCATATCCAAATACTTCCTTTTTAATGCAAATTGTGTGAGTGGCGGGTGCTACCTGTGTAGCAGGTCATGCTTTCCTTTTCCGCTAGTTTTCAGTAATCTATTCATATCTTTTTATCACTATGTTGCTTTTGCGCCCAAGAGACGAATCGAATTTACTGTTTTTGGAGATAATTCTAGCACCAACATTATCTGATAGATTCTTTCAGCTTCTTTTGGAAACTGAACAGTCATCTTTGATGGAAAATTTAAATTTAAAGATTAAAAATGAAAAATTATTACCTACATGTACGAGGGCAAACATATAGGGGTTCATAAAAATCATATGTGCCCTATGATCATATCACGTCACGAGACAACAGTGTATTGTTTCCGTCATCCGGAAGGCATTGTTGACGTCATTCGATTCTTTTTGTGACGTGAGATCTGAAAGACGCCACACTAGAAACGACGTCATATTTGAAGATGATAAATTGTGGTCCCGCTGCTGTTGCGACTTTCTGTCCTTATAGATACACACTAAAATTCGTTTCGGTGTGTAGATATCTTCTTCGGTAATAAATAGAACATTATATTCGTCTTCATGTCATACTATGTTTACGACACTCGTGCCCAAATTCATTGTCGTAAACTTAGTATGAGGCGTACACTCATATAATATCCTCTATGATTGTCATGATTGTTTTCTGGACATATTGTTACAGATGACTTTCAGCATGCATATTGTCATCTATCAGTGCAACTGCTGGTATGATCATATAGGGAAACACTGCTAAGATGTGTTAAAGCGCCGATATCACGTCCTTGACATCATGAATATTTATCCAAGTGTTTATACTGTTTCTAACTACATTGTTATATTCCTAATGCCTATTCATGTAAATATTTGTCCCGCTTAGTTCCACTGGGAACGGCTTGTATACTTTTATCTGTGTTTCAAAGTGGATAACTAATTTTTTGTACATTAGGTGAGACTTTAATAAAATATATGTCTGTCTGTCTGTCTACATCTTTGGAGGCGACCAGCTTCGGTGCAAGACTTGCTCAGGCTCTAATTCCAGGCTCTGTTACGTGCCGTCCACCCTAAATATACCAACCCTTCTCAAAAAAGGAAAACAAAATCCTTTTGACTGGCACACTAGGCAAAAATAAATGTTTACATTAAAACGAATGTCTTTACGAAAGTTTTAATCATGTCCTGAGACTGGGCAAAAAGGGCCCTCGTATCTCGTCTTTTACTGTCATGTCCTGAGACTGGGCAAAAAGGGCCCTCGTATGTCGTCTTTTACTGTCAAATATAACTTTCATTATACCTTTTTTTATATTGTTTTTAAGTGTGTTTGCGTTTTTGTTGTTTCTTTGGGGTTGGTGTAGGCTGTTTTGTTGGCCATCAGGTCTCTAGAACCAAGCATCTAGAACAATCAATCTCTACCGACTTTACTGTGTATTAGAATTTTGTGTGTACATTTTATAAATACTTGTCATGATTTCATGTTTAAATAGTTGTAACCGTAAGTGACCGTCTCCGTGGTCTAGTGGTAGAGCGTCCGCCCGGAGAGCGGAAGGTTCGGGGTTCGATCCCCGGCCGCGTCATACAAAAAGACATTAAAAGATGGTACTTGTTGTTACCCTGTCTGGCGCTCGGCATTATGGGGCTTAAACAAGTCAGCTGGGAGTCAGTATACTGTGTCTGAGTGGGGTATTCATGTTAAACTGCGATAAGGTATCTCAGTGGCCTAGCACTTTAAATCGGCATCAGTCCGGACTAGTACAAGCAGCCGCGCGCACACACACACACACACACAAACACACACACACACACATCGCTATGTAAGTGCAATAATCTTGAACGTGGCGTTAAACCCCATTTCACCTCAGCTTCTAACAATAAGTAATCGTGTTTTCTTTTAAAATATTATTTGATTCACATCAAAAATGGTGGAATAGAAAGAATATCTAGAGAACAATATTTCTTCTTTCACAATGAGTCTGGTCCAAGGTAAAGAAATTAGACCCGGAAGAGGTGGTGAGGTGAAATGAGGTTTAACATCGGATTCAAGATTATTGCAGTTATATAGCCACGTGCATGCATGTTTGTGTGGCTGCTTGTACTTGCCCTGACTAATATAGTGCTAGCCCACTTACTCCGAGCCGACATGTCCTTGTTTTATCCCCTTAATGACGAGCGCCAGGCAGGGTAATAACAAGTACATCGGTATGACGCGGCCAGGGGATAGAACCACTTACCTCCTGCTCTCCTGGAAGACGCTCTATCCACTAGGCCACTGAAAAGGCGACCTGCAACCATGTTAGAATTTGAAGCCAATATTTGTGTCAGGCAAATGAACGTACACATACCATCAGACATTTCACACTGGGACCTAAAGACAACAACAACACATGTCTTTGCTTTTGTTTTTTTATTATGACCTGACTATTACTTTAAAAATAAATGTATAATTAAATATATTTTAAAAGGTGACCTTATTGTGTAGGGAAACATCCATAAGCTAACTACTTTTTGAAAGGCCGTTTGATTCTGATAAGATATCTCTCTCTTATAGTTCAAGCCAGGTGAGCCTTCAGAGTGGTGAGTTCTAAGATCTCGGAACAGCGCGCGTCACATTCGGAACATAATTACTGACTTCAATATCTCGAAAACGAAAAGTAAAACCAGGCAGATCCAAATGTTGAAGAATAATTGAGCGATTGTTTTTTAAAGCTGTATTAGACATTGTCATCTCAGTCGGGTCTTCAATCAATGAGTAATAATTTCTCATACACCAAGCATAGATAAAACTGGGCTGGCTAAGGCGTCCATATTGACAATACTGCCTAATCATTTAAGAAATAAACGCCACTGATTGGCCCAAAACACCACACAATCTGTTTGATTTGGTGGTCAAGTTCCAATTTGGTACACGTGACAAGGGTTTGTCAGGTCCATAGCTTATAGAGATATCGAATTTAATTGTATTTCAGTAAAAACCATATTTTCCATTTGTTTTCAATTTAATTTATAAAAAAATTCCTACCAGGAAACTTGCAGATATAACCCCCCAGGGAGAAGCTCATCGTGAACAATCACCCAGTCAGTCAGTGAGGCAGGCACTGTGTGAACAATCAACAGTCCCTTAGTCAGGCACTGCGTGAACAATCAGACATGTACACTGCCTGAGTCTGGCACTGTGCAAACAATCACCCAATCAACAGTCCCTGACTCGGGCACTGTGTGAACAATCAACCAATCAACAGTCCCTGACTGATCAGGCACTGTTTGAACAATCAACAAATCAACAGTCCCTAACCGATCAGGCACTGTGTGAACAATCAACCAATTGACAGTCCCTGAGTCAGGCACTGTGTGAACAATCAACAAATCAACAGTCCCTAAATGATCAGGCAATGTGTGAACAATCAGACACTGCCTGAATCAGGCACTGTGTGAACAATAAAAAAAATCAGCAATCCCTGACTCAAGCACTGTGTTAACAATCAACCAACCAACAGTCCCTGAATCAGGCACTGATTAATCAGACACTGCCTGAGTCAAGCACTGTGTGAACAATCAACACATCAACAGTCCCTGACTCAGGCACTGTGTGAACAATCAACCAATCAACAGTCCCTGACTCAGGCACTGTGTGAACAATCAACCAATCAACAGTCCCTGGCTCAGGCACTGTGTGAACAATCAACCAATCAACAGTCCCTGACTCAGGCACTGTGTGAACAATCAACAAATCAACAGTCCCTGGCTCAGTCACTGTGTGAACAATCAACCAATCAACAGTCCCTGGGGAAGGCACTGCAGGTACTCCTGATGCCACAGCTTACCATCGGGGCATACCTTCAAGAAAGCATTGCCGACCTCATCACAATGGTAATACTTATGCACATCTGTGGGATGGGCACGGTAGAAAATTCTATCACGGTCAGAATTCCCGCAGGGGTTAAAAGAATGGTCGGGCATGGTCGGGTGGGGGACAGGCTTTTCGGTGACCAGGGGCCGTGCAGTTGTGGGTGGGATTACTTCCCCGCGGACGCAGGAGTTGACGTTGGGGTCGCGGCTGTAGATGTAATGGGGGAGACACTGGAAGAAGAGCGTTGGGAGACTGGCTCTGCACAACACAAATTTTGTCTGGTCGGTGGTGTCTGGCATGTATGCGACGGAACCGGCTGGGCAGCTGACCGTCAGGGTGTCTGTAAAACGACGATGTATTGTGCCATAAATTGGAGCTAATATTTTTGGGACATTTTATCCTGTCCTATATTTTGGCACAAATCGTATATTGATAATAATTTGGTTTTATATTTCGTTAGATTCGATACACCAATCTTTAACATCATTACTCCTGTCAATTGATCAGTTTTGAGTACAAAGAAAGCCACAGGCAATGTGAGCTATGTTAAAGTACTTACATGGATTTAACACTAAGTACGCCGTTCTCCCCGACAGGGCGTCGAGACATGACACTGGGGCTGCACTGCTCGCAGACCGGGTTCCTTGAAAGAAACAACGATGAGCATAATGTGAGTTAGACTTAAACACTCAATGTCATTTAGAAAGTGGTCAAATGTAACAAATGTTATATTTGGGATAACACTTTCCTAGTAAAGTAAAGAATCTCGTACTTTTTTGGGTTGAGTCCCGTCCCGGATTCGAACACACACTGCCAGAGTGAGGCATCTACTCGCCAGCACACAAAGTCAGCGATCTAACACACTCAGCCACCGAGGTTTCCACAAAAAATGAAAGTCCACTGGTAGTGGTTGAGTGGGTTTTTTCGCCTTTTGGAGCCGTGCCATTTTACACTTGTCAGAGGGGTACACAAAGTACGTGATCTAGACTACCAATTGTCGTACTTTCATGTTGTGGATGCCTCCGTTAATCAGGACTTCGCTAGACCGGAAATTCACATTGATAGGCTAATACTGCTAATACTGGGGAGGCCTATCTACAAAAAGCTTTTAAACCGACTCATTTCGTTGCCACCTGGCTTCGGAAATGTTGTTTTAACAAAAACAGCTGGCACAGAACACAAATATTCCTTCGATGGCACTCCCTTTGTATAAGCCATGGCGCTCAGAAACGACAGTATAATGGCGCTGCTTTTATTGTTTACATTCGGAACACGCCTATTGACTTCGTTTTCAAGATACAGAAATAAGGTATTCAGGTCTGAATGTTCCGTTCATTCGTGCCTATAATGTCGACGCCTCGAAAGTAACTGGCTGATTAGAAGAATGACCTGAGGCAACCTTCTTTGGAGGTGTCATCGTATCGTCATGCAGAGGAGTATGGTATCGGAGTTTTGTTGTTTGTTTGTTTGTTGCTTAACCCCGCACTCAGCAATATTCCAGCTATATGACGGCGGTCTGTACATAATCGAGTCTGGGCCAGACAATCGAGTGATTGACATCATGAACATCGATCATCACAATTGGGATCGATGACATGCATCAACCAAGTCAGCGAGCCTGACCACCCAATCCCGTTAGTCGCCTCTTACGACAAGCACAGTCGCCTTTTACGGCTGTTCTACTGTTCTACCCCGGATCTTCGCGGAGTAACAGGGCTTATTTGAATAACATTGCTTCTTTTACTTACTGGAATCAAGTTGTTTAGAAGCGGTGTAGAAATTGTGTGGAGAATGGGGGTCATCGCGGAAGTATTTCTTGTAGAAAGAGCCTTGATTCTCCACACCCTGAGGGAGGGACTCGGTAATGGTAGACAGGTAGAGAGCAGCAGCGAGCCCGGAGTACAGAGGCTTTCTGAGATCTGACCACTGAACCGTGCTCCAGTCGATGTTGAACAGAGACCGGACTTTACCGATCAGGTCAGTGCTTGAGGCCGAGCTCTTGATCTGGTTGAATTTGTCCTGGTCAATCTGAGGGACATATACAGGGTCATTTTACTCCGTCATTGATATTGATGAGGCTATAGGCAGGAAATATACTATCGGAAATGCTAGAAAAATGCGCTTCCGGCTTCATTTAATAAATACAAATTATAGGGTTATGAAAATAGCAGATATGAAAATCTACCTAATCTGACGTATCCTAACTGACACTGTGATTATATTCGTCGGTTGTCATGCAAATGTGGTAATTAGGTAATTACCTAACCCCTGACCCTCTGTGATGACCTCACACCGGCCCGTGCATTCTCGCAGGTGCAAATGTCATCTGAGTTGGTCTTTATAATGGGTACAATGTGTGAAGCCCATGTCTGGTGTACCCCGCTGGAATATTTCTAAAAGCGGCGTAAAACCATACTCACTCAGTCACTCACCTGTGACACGAAGGTTGCCAGTCAGCCTGCAGGATCCGCGTTTTACCACATTAAACTGTCACGCGGTGTTAAACACAACTCACTCACTTTCTGAAAGGACGATATTGTATTCTTTTGTGCTATATAACATATTCATGAAATTGATAACATTTAAGAAACAAATCTTATATTCCTGAACGTACTCTCGTCCATTAAGATGACAAGGTGAGTCAGTGAGTTTGGTTTGTTAGTATTGTACAGACATATCGCGTCGTGCCACTTCATGTGTGAGGACCGCCTCCGTGGTCTAGTGGTACAGCGTTCGCCCGGAGACCGGAATGTCCGGGGTTCGATCCCCGACCGCGTCATACCAAAAGACGTTAAAAGATGGTACTGGTTGTTACCCTGTCTGACGCTCGGCATTAAGGGGCTAAAGCAAGGACTGGTCGACTCGGAGTCAGTATACTGTGTCTGAGTGAGGCATTCATGTTAAACTGCAGCATGGTATCTCAGTGAGCTAGCACTAAAAATCGGCATCAGTCCGGACTAGTACAAGAAGCCACACAAACACACACGTACATGCACGTCGCTATAGTGCAATAATCTTGGACGCGATGTTAAACCCCATTTCACCTCACCTCATGTGTGAGGGAATCGTGAAGTGATTTAGGTTTCAAAATGTTTTCCGTGAAACCAACGAGCACGGGTATGGTGCAGACAAACCTAGAAACATGAGGGCGGAATCGACCCCATGATCATAGGCTTCTGGCACAGCAAAGGGATGCAACTCCTTAGACGACTAGGTCACCATGTCCTGATGAGCCCCATTTAGGGCGCAGCGATCACGAGACGCCTCTCTCAAGTGCCCTTCCTGACAACGCATACTTTTACCCAATTATCACTACAACGAATGCTACTGTTTCTGTGTACATGAGAACCGTACCTCATTGCCAACGTGACCTCACGACCCCAAGATGGAGCCATATCACTATATGCACAACGTTTTTATGATTTCAAAACGTAGTTTTAAGATAAACATGTTTTTTATTTATTAAGCAAAAAAAACCAAACACTATTATACAAGGTACGATAACATGTCATTTTGACATAAGTGATACAAAAATTCGAATTCAGATTTAAATGTCAACAAATGTTAAGGAGGAATTCAATTCCAGTTATGTACAGTAAACTACGTTTATAACGAACACGCTTATAACGAACTTATCTTTTAGTCCCGACCGTTTGTTGTATAAATGTTGTATATATGCTTATAACGAACAACGGTTATTACTAACTAAAATTAGTGGTCCCTTCGAGTTCGTTATAACCGTAGTTTACTTACCTGGCTACCAGTTCGGTATTATCTAATTTCTATTGATCTGTCAATTACCATCATAACTTTGGACGCAAGATCGAACGATCGACATATCACAACTATCCAGCAATGGCCCTGCATCAATGACAACGTAATATACAGTAAAACTATGTTTATAACGAACACGCTTTTATCGAACCTTTTTGGTGTGTCCCTGCCATTTGCTATGTATATATGCTGTATATATGCTTATAACGAACTTCGGTTATAACGAACTAGAATAACCAGTCCCTTTGAGTTCGTTATAACCGTAGTAAATTGCATACTGAACAAAAACGGTTAGGGGAAATGAATATTATATATATATATTTTTGTTGTTGTTGTGAAGAGTTGTTTCTTTGAGTATATACAGTATATACACTTGTTTCGTGATCCTTTTTTGGTTCAGTATGGATAGTTGCTATCAATCCCACACTGGATTATCGATAGTTTCCATAAACTTGATGAAATAAAAACGAACAGGTTGACACCACTATGAATACTTCACTATTCGGTTTTCTACAAACAATATTGATAACTTTACATATATAGTTACATATTTATGAGCTAGGAGAGCTGCAATGTTTAACTCTCTAACATCCTCACAATCTTCCTATTGAATGAGACCGCCTGCGTGGTCCAGTAGTAGAGCGTCCGCCCGGAGAGCGGAAGGTCCGGGGTCCGGGAATCATACAAAAGACGTTAAAAGATGTGTGTCGCTCGGCATTAAAGGGCTGAGTGGGTTATTCATGTTAAACTGCAGCATGGTATCTCAGTGAGCTAGCACTATAAATCGGCATCAGTCCGGGCTAGTACAAGCAGCCACACACACACACACACACAGACACACAGACACACACAGACACACACACACACAGACACACAGACACACACACACACACACACACACACACACACACACACACACACACACACACACACACACACGCACACACACGCACACACACGCACACACACACACACACACACACACACACACACACACACACACGTCGCCGTGTGAGGCCATGAAACTTGCATGCATACTAAGAGAATACTGAAAAAAGCACAGCTATTAATCAGTCAGTGGTATAGTGGTGTTACATGGAAACTTGACCAAGGCCCATTTTACAGTACAAGCAAGCGTTGTTCAAGTCTGTAAATGAAATCGTTTGCAATCGACCGACTCTTTTTAGGATTTATATCCATTAGCAGTAAGATGACCATACACAGAGACGTCTTTGTTAAACCCAGTGCGTTAATTTTAACTTTAACTAAAATTAAACTGTTAACAGGCACTAAAACAGCAAGCTCAGTCTCTTTTAACTGTCGCAATACTCGGGCGATACATAAACTCTCCTATTCGTCCGTTACACTATTCAAATAGTCCAATTGTTCCTATTAAATACGTCCTCTTATAAAGTCTAGACCTATTCTTGAAAGTGCTCAAGAACCATGGAGCCTTAGTCAGGAGCCACAGGAACTCGATGATAGCGTTTATAGCATAATATATTCGTATAGAAAAACAATCACACCCCTCTATATACATATACAGTAAAGTACGGGTATAACGAACTCAAAGGGACTACTAATTTTAGTTCGTTATAACCGAAGTTCGTTATAAGCATATATACAGCATAACTACAGCAACTAGTCGGGGCCAAAACAGTAAGTTCGTTATATCTGTAAGTTCGTTATAAGCGTGTTCGTTATAACCGTAGTTTACTGTAGACTATATGTACACAGCGGGTTGTGAATTTCTTCTATACGAATATATTATGCTATACACGCTATCGTCGAGTTCGTGTGTCTGGAGCCGATATAAGTACCCACCTGCCAGATTCCGCCATCGTAGCCAGCTCTGTAGGTATTGGCGTCTGTCCCATCATGGGACGCCACATAGGCCAGGCGTCTGAGGAACAACAGGTCATCCTTGAAGAGGCATGAGTCTCGGATGAGGTTAGATACAAACTCCACGGCATTAGCACCAGTTCCGCCTGGTACCAGGACTTGGTCTGGAACCTGGCTCCAGGCTTGGCCCACAAGGAGGAGGAACGTTACAGCCGCGAACATCAGGACTTGTTGGAGACTCGGGACGCTCTGGGAGGGACTGAGTCATGTCTTCAACATATTTGACTTCGGGGGAGGACGCTGTCACATGGCTTATCACACATGCCGTCGTTATGCTAGGGTCATATGTATTACTCCGTAAGCAGGTGTGGAACGACATAGAGCAATGTTTGTTTAAAAAAATATATTGTTACCGTAGATGCATATATATTACCCTTATTTTGTTTTCACTTAGGATTGTAATATGATAATTGCTGGGTACGTTACCTATTTCATAATACTAATTATCTTCAGTCTGGGGGAATGTGAGTTGAACGATATTTCAGTTGTATACTGAACACAAAAAGTTAGGGATAGTGAATATTTTTGGGGATATTTTTCATAAACTTGTGCGTGCAGTCTTCATTTAAAAAAAGGGCGGTCGGGTAGCCCAGTGGTTAAAGCGTTCGCTCGTCACGCCGAAGACCCGGGTTCGATTCCCGACATGGGTTCAATTTGTGAAGCCCATTTCTGGTGTCCCCCGCCTTGATATTGCTTGAATATTGCTAAAAGCGGCGTAAAATCAAACTCACTCACTCACACTCATTTAAAAAATATCTCAAACAATACTCAACATGGCAAAACGTTTTTTGTTCATTATATACCAGTACATGACGGAGCGTATATTGGTGTACGCGGGATTGGGATGAGGGTTTAACTGAGTGGGTGAGTTGGGATGGCGCTATTTTGAACAGTATTCCAGTTATATCACGGCGTGTCAGCTTTATGTGGGAAGAAAGCCCGAAGTGATGCGGGTCTCTGATGTTTACTACTTTGGTGAAACCCACAACACGGGTATGGTGTGACAAACCTAGAAACATAACTGGGGCGAACCGCGTTTCGAACCAGCAATCATAGAATTCGGGTGTGCCAAAGGGACGCAACTCTGCACAGGGAATTGCGGCGCCTTCGACTCCTGGGACACCCGTGCCCCCGATATTAAAATGATTTAGTGACTGTTTTAGAATTATTTCTTCTAAAAAGAAGTATATAATGAAAAGTCTAAATACAATTGCAAAACACTTGCATTTGTACAGGGAGAATACAACTCTTCGGTTGTAATATGATATGAACAAAAAAAGTGGGGTTTTGTATTACACTAGTCAAAACTGTTTGAAGAAAGAAAAAAGTAAAATACGCCTTGGTAATATTAAAATATTCATTTGTTCATCTGAGCATCATAGGATGTGTAAAGGGTGATGTTTCTTCTGGTAAACGTTGACAACATGAATGATTGTATTATCCCATAATAGGGGCGGTCGGGTAGCCTAGTGGTTAAAGCGTTGGCTCGTAACGTCGAAGCCCCGGGTTCGATTCCCGACATGGGTACAATGTGTGAACCCATTTCTGGTGTCCCCTGTCGTGATATTGCTGGAATATTGCTAAAAGCGGCGTAAAACCATACTCACTCACTCACTATCCCATACTATGGAACCTATGTCTTAAGCGCACGTAAAATATATTTCTTGTCAATCTGCACATCACATTATTCTGACTTCGGTCTGAAAATAATCGAGTTTGGACCATGCAAACCAGTGATTGACATCATGAGCATCGGACCAGGCAAACGGATTATGGTGACATGTAATGAAACACGTCACCGAGCCATCTGGTCGCCTTTAACGACATTCATAGGTTGCTGGGGACCTATTTTCCTACCCGGAATCCACACGGTCCATGTGTTTGGTGTGTGTTAACAAACGTTTTAATAGTATATGACCATCACACAACGTTTGTGCATCCGTATGTAACATTGTTTAACGATTGGGCGTGTGTGTCGCAATCTGGTTGACTGAGAACGTCACCGTGGTCCAGTGGTAGAGCGGCAGCCCGGAGAGCGGCAAGACCGGGGTTCGATCCCAGACCTCGTCATACAAAAAAACCGTTAAAAGTTGGTACTTGTTGTTGAGTTGGGTATTCATGAAAAAATAGCTAGCACTATTAAATCGGCATTTGTCCGGACTATGTAAGCTTGATGTGTGAGGAAAGCCCGAAGTGATGCAGGTCACAGACGTTTACCACTTCGGTGAAACCCACGAGCACGGGTATGGTGCTGACAAACCTAGAAACATAATCGTCGCGATCAGGGATTCGAACCCACAATCATAGGTTTCTGGTGTGTCCAAGGGACGCAACTCTGCACAGCGAATCGCTGGACCTTGAACTGTGTAACTGTGTATTTAAACATCATCTTTCATCGAGAAGTATGGTTCATAAATATTTGAGTATTCGATGTCCGTAACTTTTAGCATTTGAAACCTCTGGTAAACGCCATCGGTATCAAATGGCGTGTCAACTTGAGATGCGAGAAAAAAACCCCGAAATTGTCCGAGATCGTAGGCGTAACCATGTTTCAGAAAGCCGCAAATCAATACGACGTACACATATATGAAGACCGGCGTCATGCTAGCTGCATCACGGTGTAAATAGCATTATCAACTCGATAATGAATCCGTTTCACACAATCCGTTGATCACAACGTGTTGATCTGCACTGGTAATTGGCCCATCCCCAAATATTTCATATTCACATTCTATCATTTACCTATCAAATATCTTGATCTATTCACCGCCATAGGTTTGTTCCGGAAGTGATGTCACCTCACCTGGTGGTGGTTGGGGTGGAGGCGGTATCGTTTGTGTTGCTGTGTATTTAAACATGTCTTTCATCGAGAAGTATGGTTCCCCCCGCCTTTTTATCTGCATCTAATTGTTGCATAGTACAGGCGTCAAGGATTCACTATGTTACCGAATAGTCTTTGTGCCGTGCGTTGATCATTGAGATAGGAACGTCAGCAGATTGCACATTTAAAAACTTGTTTACGAAATTAGCACATATACGAAAGATTATGTGTCAACAGAATGAAAACGATGGGTTTTGTGATTATGCGAATATTTATTTGCTGCATACTATATTTCAGTATTTCAGATAGCTTGGCAGAATGGGTTTTTGGGTGATGAGGTGAAACGGGGTTTTAACGTCGCGTCCAAGATTATTGCACTTATATAGCGACTTGCATGCACGTGTATACTAGTCCGGACTGATGCCGATTTATAGTGCTAGCACACTGAGATACCTTGTCGCAGTTTAACATTAATAACCCACACAGCCACAGTATACTGACTCCAAGCCGACCAGTCCTTGTTTAAGTCCCTGAATGCCGACCGCAAGACAGGGTGACAACAAGTACCATCTTTTAACGTCTTTTGGTATGACGCGGCCTTCCGCTCTCCCACTAGACAACGGAGGCGATCACATCCAATAGGAAGATTTGGAGATTGTTAGAGAGTGTGGACACTCTACCTCTAGACCACGGAGGCGATCTCGGTTTTTACTAATACCATACAGTGCCTTGGATGATGGTGTACCATCTATCTGAACAACTACTTCTACTACGACGACTACGACTTTGACTACGACTTTGACTACGACTACACCTTCTACTACTACTACTACTACTACTACTACTACTACTACTACTACTACTACGACGACGACGACGACGACGACGAAGGCGACGACAGATTCATGCTCAACTGATGCCTTTTGCTATTAACGAATTTTAGAACTTTTTATTTTTTACGTTTCCATTGCAACAAGTTGGACTTTGGTTCTATAAAGGTGGTGTTCGTTTCCGGAGTATAACTCAAAAACTGTTAAATACTTTCTTACAAAACGTTGCATGTCTACCTGGCACATACTGAACTGGTGCATTTTGTTATTTAGGAATTTTAGACATGTTTATTTTTTTTACATTTCCATGACAACAAGTTGGATTTAAGTTTTAATATAGGGTGGGTTCACCTATGGAGTATAACAAATAAACTGTTAAATATTGCATGTCTATATATAAAGCACATTTGATATTAAGGAGTTTTAGAAATGTTTATTTTAGCATTTCCATTGCAGCTATTCTGACATGGGCTAAGAGAAATGTTGGGTCAGTTATCTGTTTTTGGACCATAATGTGTTAAAATGGGCAGTGGATATAGATGACTTCGTTGACTATACGCTTGTTTAGTTATTGTTTCTTGAAATTGTCCTTTGTTTGCATAATAAAACACAGAAACACACTTGGTTTACTTTCCGTTTCATATGGATGCGACCATGGTGGATCTTTTGTGGGTAAACAATGTATGCGTCTTCAAGAACATTCAACTCTTGACTCATTACATACAGAATTGCACATTTACTTGTGGTTACTTTACAGACAACTGCCGGGGAGATATGTCATCTTTCTGGTGACCCTTGTTAACAAACTGCTTCAGAAATGTATGTTGGTTAAATTGACAAATCAGACTTAACAAGATTTTCAATTTTCAACTACATAAAAAAACACACGTGTCACATCTGCTCGGAATATACAATGAGTGAATAGTTTTACTGTAATCAACTAAACAGATATCCTGAAAGGTTTCGTGCCTCTCGGGTCGTTTTATGTATGAACTCTATCAAACGTATTATGGACACCTGGTATCATCTTGGTTTGATAGTAACTCATAAACACATGCTCCTGATATAGTCGGAATCGTGCAATGGAATATGAATATGCATATTTTGAATATGGCAATTGGAATCATTGAGCACCCCCGTGTTGAGGGGGATTGAGTTTTGATATTCCCGTTGGGGTTTAGATTTACTCATTAACATATTTTGCCGAAAAACAATATAACATGCAGTCTGAGAAGTTTCAAATTCATACACTTTATTAGTTTCATGGAAAGATATATAAACATAACTAACCTTATTACAGTTGCCGTACAATCACTTAATTCACATATGTTAGACCCGTGAAGATCCGGGTTAGAAAAAGATCTTCAGCAACCCGTGCTTGCCGTAAAAGGCGACTATGCTTATCCTAAAAATCGATTAAATCGATCGGGCGGTCAGGGTCGCTGACATGGTAGATGCACTAAAGACGGACGTGTTATATTTGCACAGGCCCCCGTGGGGACCCAGGGAAGAATGTATCCCCAGCACCCCATTGCTTGTCGTAAAAGGTGACAAAATTGACAACCCGTTTGTAACGCGCCTTCGGAC